AGTACTATGAATTGCTTGTCAATTCACGTAGACTGCAGTTGATCAACCCAGCGTCGAATATCAAAGTCACGGGTCTCAAAGCCCGAACAGACGTTTACCGAATCACGGGTTTAATGCCTGATATCCCTGTGGATTTCCACACAATGATCGCCCGATTCTCCACGTTGACTAAACCTATTGAGGACTCAACACTAGTGATTGATCGTGTTGCACACCACATAGTCACCAAGGGTCAACCAGTCACGACACGATCTCCCCGACTAGCACCGGACAAATTAGCTTTTGCTAAGAGTGAGTTTGACACGTTACTTTCAGAAGGTATCGTACGTCCTTCTCATAGTTCATGGGCCTCTCCTCTACACATGGTTAGTAATAAAAATAATAATAATAAGTGTATAATTTACGGAGCCCCATGTTCTTAAAAAAGACAGCGTTAGTTGGCGACCATGTGGTGACTATCGGTCACCTAACGCAGTGACTCATTTTGATAGTTATCCCATCTCGCATATACATGACATTACGGCTTAACTTCATAATACGACTATTTTTCTAAGATCGATCTGGTACAAGCTTATCATAAGAATTCGGTCGCCACTGAAGATGTCGAAAAGACTGCTGTCACGACTCCCTTCGGTCTGTTTGAGTTCCTACATATGCCTTTTGGTTTGCGAAACGCTGCTCAGACTTTCCAGAGGTTTATCGACAGTATAACACGCATGCCTTTTGGTTTGCGAAACGCTGCTCAGACTTTCCAGAGGTTTATCGACAGTATAACTGTTGTTCACGTTTACATTGACTATTTGCTTATTGCCTCTTTCAATGTAGATGAACGTTATCACCATTTGACCTTGCAGTTTCAACGTTTATCTGATAACAGCATTCTGGTTAACCCCGATAAATGTGAGCTTGGCAAAAAGCAACTGCGTTTCCTTGGCCACAAGATCACCCACTAGGGTATTGTGCCATGCGAATATAAAGTATGTGCTATCAGAGAGTACACTTTACCATCCTCAGTCAAAGACCTGAAGGCGCTTTTGGTACTGTTGAATTTCTATAGACGATTCATCCCACACGCCGCTGGACGATTGCAACCTCTAACGGACCTACTTCTTGGTGATCCACGTAAGCTCATGCTTACGGATGCCGCACCAGTAGCATTCCAGGAGGTGAAGACATATTTAACGCAGACCACGCTGCTTTTGCATCCTGTACCGTCAGCCACGCTTAGTATAGTGGTTGATGCTTCAGACTTTGCACTTGGGGCGGTCTTGCAACAACAGGTTTCTGGGTTGTGGCAACCTCTTGAGGTTTACCCTCGACGCCTTAAACCCACAAAAACCAAATATAGTGTTTTTGGACGCGAACTGCTGGCAGCTTACAACGCCATCAAGTATTTTAGACATGCAGTCGAAGGTCGAGATTTTACTCAATATACGGACCATAATCCTCTTACATATGTTTTGCATACTAAGTCTGACCGTTACTCACCCCGAGAAACCAGACACTTAGACCATATGTAATAATGATAATAATAATGTATATTTCACGAAGCCCGTGAAGCATGCACAAGACATGATCATATGTTCAAAATAATCATATATACAACGACAGTTCAAGTATATAGATAAACTGCTTGGAAGACGTACATACTGGAGATGGTATTGGAGCAGAACGAAAACGCTTTGTATACGGAACACAAAGCGGATGAAGTCACAAATGTTGATGTGGAGGATGGAAGAATGTGCTGTATAAGTATATCAATCGAAATTGAAGTAACTGTTGACCCTTTATCGAGGGGATTCGGCGTGCGGCTCTAATGGGAGAAGATACGGAGAGACAGAATGTAGGACAATAGACGGGGAAAATGGAGTCACAAGGATAAAGATAAATAATTAGGAGTACAGCGAGTTCATACGTTTGCCGAGAATGCGGACGCATGCAGACAAACCGTGGAAAGCGCCGTGCCCAACAACCACTGCCGGTGCCACATTTTCTGTTGTGGTTTTAGATCCCAAGCCTTTGACAGGTCCAAGCCAACCGTATCTGGAACGAAAGAGTCATACTGAACAGTCTGGAGAAATGCCCAGCTGAGAAGGGATAAGGGGAGAAACAGAATGTAACAAATCAATGGGCAAAGTGGAATAAAAAGGGTAGTATATGCCTGTATGTACACATGCCAATGTACAGTTAGGTTTGTACATATAAAAGCAAATATCTAACCGAGAAGCATGCCGCGAAATAGACCATAACGTTTGGCCAAGTCACTCGGGCGACATCGAAGTGAGGAATAGTTCTGCTAATGAAGAAGTAGTCACAATACTTCTAAGAGTATGTACCAAGGTGGAATGTATTCCACAGATACAGCTTTGAAGCCGAATCGGTGTACTGATAAGGGTTCGGTTTAGAAAGTGGTCAAAGCTACCTGGTTTGCATGTGCCACGAAGTTTATCAGCTTTGAAGCTGAATCGGTGTGCTGATAGGAATTCGGTTTGGAATGTGGACATATTTTCCGCTTTTGACCGAAATGGACGAAATAAGGGCTTGTGTGTATTCTGAAGTCTTTAATAGTGGATTCCTTTTTCATAAGCTGTTGTTTCAGGTATACTGATATTGAGGAGTTGTAAGCTCTGTGAGACGGTGAGTTCTTTGTTAAGACCTTTTTTAAATTGGTGACTCGTTGTAGTGCACCGTATGTTCAAGGGCAACTTATTCCATAATTGGGAGTAAGAGCTTAAAAAGAATTGTGCTCGAACACTTGTTTTTGCAATGGGAGTAGGAAGGGTCAGGTTTCTGTGACGCAGTGGATAGGTAGTATTAGGTATAAAGTTTATGAAACAAGAAGTATAGACTGATTATTAATAATGTTATGAAGAAAAACTAGGTTCAGTTTCATTCGTCGGAGCGAAAGCGGATCTACATTTAGCAAGAGGCAGCGTTCTTTATAGTTTAAGGGTGAACTCTATCTGAGCAGCCTTTGCTGGACAGTTTCGATGGCAATTCTTTCAGCTTCACGCATGCTAGAGAAGATTATAGGGCAGTATTCACGTAGCGGTCTAGCGTGAGATTTGTAGATGAGAAGAATATTTTCTTTTAGCTTGAAAGAGCGGAAGATGATACCAAGGCATTTGTTAGCCTTGGCTATTTGCAGAATAGCATGTTCAGAAAAGTTGAACGTGCACGAATAGTTTAAGCCAAGATCTCGAATAATGGGTTTACAGGATATGGATAAGCCCCTAATGTTTAGGGATCCAGTTGGGATGTGGCATTTATACGTAAGTATTTCAGACTTTTCTGCTTAGAACTGCATCAACCAGGTTGATCACCATTGGTCGAGCACGTATATCGTCAGATATATTAGATAAGGTAGCAGTAAGAGTATCAAGCTTACAAGAGTACACAATTTTAATATAATCAGCGAAAAGGAAAGGAGTACCGTGGCGCACTGATTTATATATGTCGTTTATATACATGAGGAAAAGTAAGGGACCCAGAACACTGCCTTGTATGACACCACTGGTGACAGGTCTGGGCTGGGAGATATGACCGTTGATTAGAACGGTTTGTGACCAATCCGATAAGTAAGAGCTTAGCCAGGAAAATAGGGGGTCAGTGATACCGTAAGACAGGATTTTAGTTAGTAAATGGGAGTGAGGTACACGATCAAATGCCTTGGACATGTCTAGATATAGGACTATAATAAACATGCCTTTGTCAGCAGCTTCCGTAACGACGTTGAGAAAGTCCATTTGGCAAGTGTTACAAGATCTAGCACGGAGGAAACCATGTTGACGATTGCTATTGAGATTATGACTGTGAAGGTATGACAATTTGTTGTTTAACAATCTTTTCCATAGCCTTAGAGAGAATTAGAGTATGGTTATTGGGAAGATAATTTGCAAGATTATGTACAGAGCCCTTTTTGTGGCGTGGGACTTTGACAGAACGTTTCCAGTTTGTTGGTACTAGACTGTTGTTCATAGAGAGAGGAGTAAAAGTGGTAAATTGCACCCAGAATATACAATGACAGCTGGGGGTAAACCGTCTGGACCAGGGTGAGAAGATGGTTTGAATGAAGTAATCAAACGAACAATTCTGGAAGCATCGAATACTATGCTTGAAAGTGTGGCTGCAGTGCTAGAAGGAATGGATGGCGGGGTGATGTTTAAACTAGCGGCCATGGTGGAAGCAAAGAAAGAGTTGAAGGCTTCAACGATGTCCGGTGAAAGGGTGATGGTTTTGTTGTCGGACAGTTGGATGAAAGGTATGTCTTTAGGGGAGTGCGAGTTCCTGGATTTGAATAACGTTGACAAACAGATGGACTTATTTCATTGTCTCAGGGCATTAACTTCCTGAGTGCTGATTATGGACTCGTTTTGCTTACCAATAGTTAAGGATAAGCGATGAAGTTGAAGTAATAGTGAAAAGTCATGTTTTCTGAAGTACTGTTTTTTAAGTTAACATACTTGGCCTGTAGGGGGGGTAACCTAGATTTATTGCTGACCCGTTTTTGTGATAAAGATGTAACACTAGTAATACATATGGAAAGTAGGGAGTAAAAGATATCAGATGCCCGTTGAGGGTCAGACGAGAGAAAGAACTCACACCAATCTTGCTGTCGAATGGCTGTGGGGTAGGAGCTTCCAGTTACTATAGGATTTGGTTTTATTATAAGAAGTATTTTGATTGAGCTGGGTACAAATGGGGATGAGGCATTTTATGGTCGCTACCAGAAAAGTGTGCAGAGGTTTTGACAGACATTTGGAATACCATGGGTGAAAATCAAATCTAAAATGTTTTTTTAGTAGGAGAGGAAACATGTTGTATCCAACCTCCAACATTAATACTGGCTACAAATTGGGAAAGATTCGCAGGAGCTAAGGAGGAAGACCAGGATATCTCAGGTAGGTTAAAGTCACCAGCTATGATNGCTATGATTTTGGCATTCCAAGGTAGAAGGGAAATATGCTCAAATGCATCGAGTAGAGGGGAGAGTTCGGTAAAATTTGAACTAGGTGGTCGATAAATACAGCCTATATACAGCCGTATTTCTGAAAATTGAATAGATAACCAAAATGAATCAGGAATGGAATCAAACAGCGGGTGTTGGATAGTGGAAACCATGAAGTGTTGCTTCACATAAGACATGCAACCACCACCTCGTTGATTTTGCCTGTTTGTTCCAAATACATTGTATCCCGTCAAAGATATATGATCAAGGGGGTATATTCCGTTGGCCATGTTTCAGTTATAAGGATGATATCATAATCAGATATTGTGGCTAGGTTGCGTAATTCTCTTAGTTTGTTTACAATTGACCGGCTGTTAAGAAGGATAAGGGAGATGCCGCCCGTAGTTTTAATCATTGAAGACTCATGTAGAAGTGTTGGTTCAGGGGAGGAACGAGATTTAGTGAATGAAGTTGCAGGTAGTGCAGGAGTTGGAGGCCGAGAGCTTACATTATGAATAGGGGGTACCGAATGATAAATTGGTTGCATATGGATTCCCTATTTGGAGCGCTAGCAGTAAAACAAGTATGAAGTATACGCGCTCTGAGATTATTGTGTGAGTAGGATGTTTGGAGGGGCGGTGGACTAGGGGTTAACATAGGTGAGACTCTTGGGGCAGTGAATATGGACTTTGGACACATTGGGAGGGATGGATAGGGGTTGGGGACCAATAGGGGTGCCACCCAGTGAAGGAGTGCCGAAAAAACTTTTGGTTTGCATGGGGGGATGTGTATGGTTTAACAACCAAAAATTGATGAATATGGCGTAATTGACCAGACATTTGTGGGGGGAAGTGCATAGGTAATGGTAGTGCGTAGTTGATGGGGAGAGGTGGTGGGGGAAGTTAAGAAAAGACACTGTGGGGTGTGAGTAGATAGTTGGTGTTGCGCCTGGTGGTGGTGGTCTAGGGTTCATAGCTGGAGGTGGCATTA